TCGTGCAAATAGCTAGGATTTTCCAAACAGTGGGTCGTGAAACCTCTTTGGGCAAAATTTCTGGTCAGACTAAGATACTAATATTTCAGCCAAAATCTGCCGACTCAAAAGCGGAGAAAAAGGAAAAATTAAATTGCGCGATTTTCCCAGTAAGTTTGTCCAAAGGGGTCATCCTACCTGCTGACTATGAGAATCACATCTGATTTGTGAGGTAGCTTCACTTTAGGACTAAAGTAGGTAGTTTTCAGATAAGCATGATTACTCAAGGTTTGGCGGCCTTTTACGGTCTCACATCAAAAGACTTTCTGCGACTACTGCTTGCTTCTGGAAACTATCGAAGCTGCTCTACCGAGCGATGCCTACAATAGCCCTCCTTTCCACAGAAAGTATTGAGTTGCGCCCTTACAGAAACTCGTCGGGAATGTAAATGAGGATCAGACCAACACAAATCCAGGTAGGCAATACGACATGCACACCACAGTCCAGATCTTCAAACTTCTAAGCTGTACAATTTACTCTAAAAATGTTAATAGCCGAGAACACAGAACTAAAAAAAGTTTGTGCTCGCATGCATTGATTTCTGAGTTTGAGAAGAAGGAATTGAAGCATAGAACGTATATTGCTTTCTAGCATACCTTCAATAGATAGAGCTACAATAAAATCATTTCATTGATCATTTGTGTCATTGCAGGCACTATCCACCTTTGATGTCCCCATCTTGGATTCTTGGAACGGGCAAGCTTTGATTTGAGTGTATTCAATGTGTTATTTATGTTTTCTTTCCTTTTTAGGTATTAATTTTCTCAAAGTGATGCAAGCAATGACAATCACTCAGTCTCTTATGTTCTTGCGATTGCAAATCCAGGATGAAGACGCCAAGGATGGACGCTGTGTGCCAATGCGCACATGATCATATGAGATGATTCGACTGGATGTACTCTGATAACCTTCAATTTGAGCGACACAAGAGAACGCAACCTTTACTAAGTGGTCCACATGAAGTGTGACGCACAGATGCTTTCGTAACTTTGTTAGAACTCAATGAAATTGAAAGCTTTTATTTTCATCTGATAGACAAGAAATTTCCGTATAATTGTAGATTACTTTTGGAATATCCACCTTTGGCTTCGATGAAGGAATTTATTCTGCTCGAAAAAGATTTCAAAATGCGTGCAATGATTTTTGACGCGCAACTTCGTCCCAGTATCTCCTTTTAGCAAATCCATTGAAATGGATGCGGAAGAGCGGCGTTTTGCTCACAGACAGGCTTGGAAGAAAATTTGTGGGTTCAAGAATGTTCGAGTGGAAAGGCTGAACAACAAAAGGAATTGAAGTTTCTTCATATGTGGCCCACATGATGTTTGACTGGCTGCAAAAAATTCATTTTTTAGTCTTTTTCACTCCATGTGAAAGTCGCCTTCTCCATATTCTTTTGTCCCGTTGTGTTGTTTCCGACTTCGGTTCTTAGTAAAATATGGTCAAGCTCGAAGGTTTTGCAAAGGCAATGGCCGTGGCAACGAAAATAGCAATTTTCCAGGATTCTAAAAAGCATCGAAAGCAAACTTTGAAGGGCTGTGGCACGTTATTGGATCAAGGGAAGTACTATAGGCGCTTTTGGGAATTTTTTAATATGACTAAACACCAATCCACAGCGAAAAGAAGAAATTGCAGTTAAGTAAAATCCATTGTTTAAACAGTGGAAAAAATGACATTTGGCCCTCTAGCTCACTCATCCTTAAACATACAAACGCTCCTTTTTGCCTGCCTAAAAGAAAAGAGTCTGCCCTTCAAAACCTTGTCATTTGATTCGACGAGAAACCTAGTGAGAGTTTGGGAGCAGAAACCATCACGTGCGAATCGAAGAAATTTTGGAAGAGTTTGAAAGAGAAAAAACGATTTCAAAATAACCAGGGACAGGTATCTCAAAAGTTGACCAGAAATCCCTATACAGAATTCTCTTTTTTATCAGGAGAGGACAAAAGCTTTTGATTTTATTCAGTCCATGCAAAGTTATAATACTTTTTCTTTGTGTCACACTTTACGTGGACCTAATGATTTGCGTTTCATTCCATCGGCCACCTTGATTTAGGATCGTTCCCTGGTAAGTATGCTCGTTTGCCTGATTGTAGACCGCACCGAGAACAGTCTACAAAATTCCACTTCGCGTTCCTTTTGTATGCGACGAGCTCAGCAGAGCACTAAAGAAAAGTTTTCAGCACGCGGGCCTTGAAAGTGACATACGGGCCCGTAGTAAACCCCTCCTGGTTGTCACAACATAGAGGGACTATGTCGCGATAGCTCGGAGTATCTCGCAAGACTATAGCGAGCTATCCGGAGGGCGCCGCAAAACTAACGCACAAACACGTGATCGAACCACCGATAACCCCGACAACAGCGCCCACACTCGCTGCGCTATAAGTACCAATTTCACTATGTTTTACTAGGAGAGGAAGAACGCGCGAAGCAAATAAAGCTATTATAGCAAAATCAGTACGGGCACACGACATGAAGTTTTACTTGCAATATTCCCAATCCGTAATATTAGTATTGTAGAAGTAATTACTGCTCTCGCCATAAGTGTAAAATTGCACATATACAGCATTTGAAGATAACGAGTAGATAGCGCAGTGCCAGTGTCAGAGGGCAGCATGCCCAAGGGGGGAGGGTTCAAATTCTACGCGATACCGCCTTTTGCAATTTGCTAATAGTTGAATTTTCATGCAAATAAACTCATGTTAGGGAATTTCCTGGTAGTAAAGAGGAAATGGCATTCAGAACAGTCAATATTGGTGCATAAGAAAAATAAAAATATCATCAAACATTTACTACCTTAGCAAAATGTTCAAAAATTTGCTATTCCCTAGCTATAGCACCAAATGGTCCCTTCTCTCAAAAACAGAAGGGAAGCGAGAGGTGTACGGCTAACGAACAGCAGTTCAAGCAAAAATATGTGTTTAAAAATGCTAGGATAGAAGAAAAGATAAGAATTTGAGGAATTTTGGCACGAAAAAGAGATTTGGTGCGCGCATGAGGCGCACTGTGAATGTAAAAAACGAAAAATAGCACAAGCACGAATTAGCAAGCAGAAAATATGACCGAATCTACATTTACGTCGAAAACAACTCACCTTTTTCTGAATAACAGGGTGTACAAAGCAGAAATATCTAGCAAATGGAAGCGCCACATTGCTCGGACGGTTAGGCATTATCAGCTGCTGATATTGATTGCAGTTGACGTGCGTTTTAGAGAACTGTGTGCATGTGCGACCTATTGCGAGGTTGGCGTAGTCGAGCTCTAGTCTTGCGCTATGTCTCTGCGTCTCCATGATGGACAAAGTATTTCGTCTTCTTGTACGTCACCACATGTCGCTATATGTCGCGATATGTGGTGACACAAAGCGACAAAGTGCGAGCACCCTGACGCCTTGCATTGATTGCATCCGGCGGCAATGGTAAAGGATAGCCGCTTTGCCTGCCTCGCAGCACATTAGTCAGCACATGTCACAGCAGGCTCCGAGCTATACGTCAGCACATACGGGGGGTTTACTACAGGCCACGATGTACGTTCGTAGCCACTTGTCATAGACATCCCACCCCCTCACATCACAAGCTAACACGCAATCGCTTCTATGATCGCTTATGCTCAAGTCCTAGTTGTTTTTGTCCATTTTAAAGGGAGCGGGATTGCATGGAGTCGCGTAGTCTGTCTTACCACCCAATCATTTGAAGATCAGTGGCGGGAAACCTGTAGACCTTTGTGTGTAAGGGTCACGAGGCACCTAGATAAACTCGAAAAACTGAAAGTATACCCCTCTAGGCGCCCACCACAAGCAACCTCATGGTGATGAGCAATTTAGCGCAGGTATCAGGATTTCATCGATTTAGCTCTACACAGTAGCCCGCAAGACATTAGAAGCTTCAGATTTCGGATTACATCAAAATCCAAAAATCAATTGCGAAAAAGTGTGCACTGCCACTACGAACGAGCTGGTCCCGGTCCCGGTCTCGTATTACTTAGCTCTATGTGGGTTCTGACCTAGGAATCGGGTCAGGTCAACTGCAAAAATGGGGCATTCTGGTATATGCATACCAGTAGGGCGCTGTGGGTGGTCTGCTCTCACTGTCTACCGAAGGCTATCAGTGCAAGCGTTAGCATAGTGTCTCTCCTGTCATCAACCCCGCTACCTTTTGCTGAATTAGGTCTTTGCATTAGATGCGGTGCTTGAGGTGCAGGTTGCAATGGTTTTTGTTTTTTCAGACTCTGAATAAGGCGTTATCGTCGAACATTACCCTACGAGTTCAATAAAGATCGTTACAAGTTTTGATCACAGCTCAAATAATATAGCTAGAGTTAGAGAAATGCCAAGATCCGTCGACAATCGAGTTTTAAGTCACAGGTCACGCATGTTAGAAAGACAAGATTCCGAAACGTAGGAAACACTGATTTGTAGCAGAATGGTTCATAGTGTCCATAGAAGTAACCTGACGTACCGATGGAAAATCACATCTAATCGACATGTCGGAGGCCCTTAGGAAATAGATGTACGGCAAGGTGTCAAATCATCGCAATTTGCCTAGCTTCGTATTGGACTAGTTGATATGTTGTACACAATGTCATTCATTTGATATAACGTTAATTTTAACGCATTACTTCTACATCTCATCCAATCGTAGCATATTCCTTACCTTTTTGAACAAATTCTGAATTTTTGCTTTCAGTCGATAACGGAACGATTGTCGTTCGAAGTTGCAAAAATCAATCCGTATGCATGGACTTTGTAACATAATGCTCTTTGTCTTATCATCCAACATTTCAAGGCTTTAAGCAACACTAAAAAGTCCCATGTGCTTTGAATTTTCACCTACAGTCAGATCAAACAGCTTAATTAGGTAAAATACAATCACTCCACCTGTCAGTGAAAATATTAGATTCTCGCTTTCTCGCTATATAAACACGGTTTAGTATCGCTACTTTGTCCAACTTTGTTCATTCTTCATCAAGTTATAACTTAGCTAACAGAGTGCGTTTTTTTCAGGTAGACTAACTGAAGAGAATGAGACTTTTGCTAGTTCTCTTGGCGGTGATTGTCCTTGCAGAGGGTCGCGTCGCGTATTGGGATTTACCCTTTTGTAAGATGTGCAAAGATGTGGTCGGCCAGTTGAAAGGACATGTTGAAGGAGGAGTTAGCGGTCTTACACAGGTTCTTCTTTGATTACAACACAGTGCATATATTGGGCGTTTTTTCGACGACTGAAGCATCATATGAGCATAATGTTCAAGCAGTCTTATTCTAGTAAACAAGAATAAGCCATCCTTCAGTTTGCAACCAAGTTCTGTGGCAGCGTTCCCCTCATTGGGGGTATGTGCAAGAGCATGATAGCGGACAATATGGAAAAAATTGCGGCAGAATTAAAGGTGAGTCAGCAATTGATATTCATCAATATTTATGTCCCCTGCGACGCGCAAATAGCCAAGTAGTGTACAAATTTATGACTTGTGCTTTTGAATAACTCTCATTTTTTCAGAGCAACGTCGCGACGGAAAAAATTTGCATTCATATGCAAATGTGCTGGTAAATCCATAAGATTTCAATAAAGACTTCACGCTCTGATGTTTTAGCAGACACTAATTCTCAAGTAATTAAAAAATTAACTGAAATGGGATGATGATGTGCAATTATGTGAGCATTCCCACTGTGGATATTCTCAGCTATCACTCGGATACTGCATGAACAACTTGCATATACGGACGAAACGTCTTAGCTTGTTGACAGAACGAAAGACATTCCTTTGGTAACGGTATATCTATTAGGTCGTTCCATAAATTCGTAGCGTTTTTATTTTCGTACTCATATCTTTGAGGAGCGGTTGATTTGCGGCGGAATGCATTTATCGTTTGGAAGGGCTGATTGCTTTTTGAAATACATCTACTGATTTCGGTGGAAAGCTGATTCACTCGGATCTCGCAGCTTCCAAAGATGGAAATTTTGAAAGGCAAAAAGGAGCAATTTCGGCATTTGCGCCTTTTTCGTTATGAAAAGAAGCGTTTTTGCACAGATTTTTGTGTCGATTATGTAACGTGGCGTTTGTTCATCAATATAAGACAAAAAAAGATTGGATTGGTACAAAAGAGCAGGAGCTGAGCAGGATGTCCCTGAACAAGACTTTTCGGGGGACGGGCAGGACGTCCTGCACTGAATATTGCTGGACAAGTAGACGACGGTCAAGCACGCAATAAGCAATCCAAATGCACGGTTTAAACCAGGTCCTACCGCAGAAAAAGCCTAACAGACAAATCCAGTGAGTTTTTCTGCATGAGAAACATGGCCTCATACGGCAAACGTCGTCAAAACTCTCCTGCACGACTCGAGTGGAAGGTACTTCAGTACCCGAAATACTCTCCAAACCTCGCTCTACCAGATTATCATTTGCTCCGCTCTCTAGCAAACCGCATGAATTGTGCATGTCTCGATTTCAGTAAGCAACTTGAGCGCTGGTTAGATGTTTCTTGGGACCCGGCGCGCTGCCGTTTGAAAAATTGAGGAGCTAACAAGAATGTGCCAAAAGGTTGTGCGCTACAACGGAATGTAATTTTGAGTGATTTTTACTGTAAATTGATGATTTTGTTGGTTTATAAAAACGCTACGAACTTATGGAACGACCTAATATATCATATATCATCATAAAAGGTAAAAGGAATTCTATGAGTGCGACAAGTTCTTTGACACTGCCCCGTAAGCAAGTGAGCCCAAATGTTCAACAACATTTTGCCAAAATTAGTTGTGGTATGTTCTGGTATTAATTCAAAATTTGCATAACAAATTTGAATGATCAAAGTATTTGCGAAAATCTGAATACAACATCCAGTGTCTCGTTCGTGTGGGCCACAAAGGTTTCAACTAGACGCATGCTTATTGAAAGCGCTAGCAAGAAAAATTTTACGTCAAAAGACCATCGGCATCAATCGCCGAAAGCTTCTTTTTCTAACATTAGTAACAAATCCAAAATACCCATGCAACGACAATTTTTCGAATTGAGACGAACTAGAGAAGGAAGATTGGCGGATTTTAATGTAAATACAGGAAAGAACATGGATGGGAACTGTCTTTTTTCCTCCCCGCACACTTGTTTCAAAAACTCTAATTGTTTGAAAAATTGACCCACAAAAGCATGGAAATTTTTAAACGGAAAGTCGCAAACGAAACTCCACTCTTCAACAATGGCGCTCCCTTAAAGCTCACTAGTTTGACTCCATGGTGCTTCAAATAATGCCTCGATTAAACGATTGGAAATATGGGAAAATATGCTGTCAATATGCGAGACTGCAGCGGTCACCCGTGCTAAAGAAAATTAGGCGCTCAAGATTTAGCGAAGGACTATGATTAGCTTCCAAACGAGTTGCAAGCCTGTGATAAGGGTTAGGCCAACCGTGCATAAAGAGGCTTTGAGATTGATTTGGATCAGCATATCTCGCTGCTGGTACGATAGTAAGCTGTACAAAAGCCTAGTAGGACGTCGTTTGGAAGTACGGGCAAGCCAAACCCCTAAAATAGCCAGAAGAAACAAAATTTCGAGAGGAATCAAATATGCCATTGCAAGACTAAATTTAGTTAACACCTCAACGCGAAGACAGAACCGTATAGCAAAAATTTTATATTTATTTGTTTATTTATTTATATAATTGCATTACACAATAGTAATGTGCCATACTAAAAAAGAAACGAATAATTGGAAAGGAGAGTGAGGGAGAGTGAGGTGTGCAAAATGTGTACAGCATTGAGGGAATTCTAAGCTCTAGTTTCATACCACTAAGCGTCTGCGTATACTGTTTAGTGCACATATGTATGCATCTTACACATTATAGAGAGCTCCAATCATAAGTACATTGATCTGCATAAGTGGCATTTTTGCTCTCAACAGTAGAGTAAGATGAAGTACTCAAGTTATCGACCATTTCCGAGTGGTAGTAGCCTATTAAATGGTCCATTCATCGATCCATCCATCCATCAGTCCATGGATCCATTATGCACTTCACCTACATACATACCAGTGGCGTACCCAGGATTTCGGCTCGGGGGGGGGGGGGGCGGCAAAAAAAATTTTTCAAATGAAGGTGCGTGGCGTTAGCCATGCACTCCGAAAAAATTTTAGGGGGCTTCTCAACAATTTTGCGGGCCTCCAACCCCTAAAATCTGAAAAAGAGGGGGGGGGTGGCGTCAGCCACGCCCCGAAAAATTTTTTTTATAAGGCTAATTTGAATTTTTAAAAATTTTAAAAATTATTTTAATTGTTTACAAAAATAAACAAGTCATTTGCACAGTTTTATAACTCATGTAAGTTATCTTTCAAAAATTTCGCGACCCGTTCTCGGAGGGAGCGCGCCCACCCCACCACTGATACATACATACATACATTGTTTCTTTCCTTCTGTTGAGAAATTGAAATGCAGATCAATATGAAGACAAGAGCTGTCAAAAATGCGTTTTTGTAGCAGACTACACTGAATGAAGTATTGAGATATGTTTATAGCTTGATGGAGCTCATACATAGATGGAGCAATTAAAGTCTTGGGCAGGAGGCAGGAGGCATGGTATGAAACGAAAGCTCAGAATTCGAAAAAAAGCATTTCAAAAACGACGATCTTCATCAGCTAAAGAAAGGATAACTTCGTAAGATGTAAGCGATCTACTAGCCAAGGATTACATTTGGATATATAATAGATTGTAATGGCAAGTAGAAGAGGTAGACTGACACTGAAGGCGAAAATGAATATCGTCATTGAAATTTGATCGAAAGAGTAGTGCACAGGTACAATCCATGCATCTGTCAGTGACCGAAGTAAGCGCATTCAGTAAGTTTCTAAAATCAAAAAGAAGGTAGAGAACTGAAGGAAAACGAAAAGTAGTGACTTCCTTTGTCATTTGTTGAGAATTTTTTCTTTTTATATTTGATCTGTCATGCGTCAATTACTTTGGGAGTTCTAGTTCATATCTGTAATACTGAATAAGTCATGTCTTTTACACTTTTCTCTAAAAATTTCGCTATTTATTGCAGCTATGGCATCTTTGGGAAGCCGTTGAAACCATCTCGCTGTCCTGTAAAACAAATTATTGAACATCTGTTGATGATTTCTACGTCGAATCCTGGGCTAATGTAAATTGAAAGCCCTCGATCTTTCACTTGTAGGGATAAACGTCCAGTACTTACTCGCTTTTAGCTTGTTCTCTCTTCTTAACACTTGAAAGCAAAAAGTAAGGTCAAATAAAACACGCAGAAGCTGAGTTTTTTCAAATGGGATTTTTGAAGGCGGTCTCGTAACTGAGTGGTGGATTTATCTCGGGCGAAGTACGTTTGAAAAGAAGTCTTGTATATAGTTGTTGCACTTTTTAAAGTTTCTTGATGTGTTTTTTACGGAATGGAGACCATATCTGGGAGCAATATTCCAGATGTGGAAGCACAAAGGCTTTATAGAGTAATAGCAGAATTTCTGAATTAGTGTTAGTACCACGAAAAAGCAAAAACAATGACGCGTACGCCTTTCTGACCACCATGTCAATATGTTCAGTGAAGCTGAGTTTGGAGTCAATCAGAACTCCTAAATCCTCAACGATTTCACAATTTTTTAGCCTGCTACCATTAAGGTGATCATTAGGTGTATTCTCTTTTCCAAAATGGAGAACAAAGCATTTATTCAAATTAAATGTTAGATTCCAAGTTCCAGCCCAAGTGCTCAAATTATCTAGTGATTTCTGTAGATTGGTTTGTACTTCCAGTGCATTATCAATACTGTACCTTCCGTAAATTTTGATATCATCAGCGTACATTTGAACGCTGATTTGTGAAGAAGTTTTCAAAGTATTCGGCAGATCACGGGTGTAGAAAAGGAAAAGCAAAGGAGATAAAACACCTCCTTGCGGTGCAGCGGTGTTTTTCAGAAAACAGATGACCTACTTTGACGGTCATATGGCGATCTCGTAGGTAAGATATCAGCCAAGAAAAGAGATTTCCGTCAACTCCGAGATTACGCATTTTGGCGAGTAATTTACTGTGACAGACTTTATCGAAGGCTTTGGAAAGATCGATATAGAAAACATCAACAGACTCCCCATTATTAATTGCCACACTCCAGTCGAAGACACTGTCAACAAGATTGGTGGTGGTGGAAGCTCTGCTAAGAAAGCCATGCTGTTCATCGGGAATCAAACCTAGCTGAGTCAGCCACTTTTATAACTCATCACGTATAATCTTTTCCATGATTTTGATGGGAGTAGGCAGTAGACAGTAGACTAATTGGGCGAAATTCGTTGATAAAAATGGCGCTATCACTTCTTGGTATGGCTGTGACAATGGCCTCTTTCCATAAACTAGGTTTTTCACCCACCAGCATCGAAATGTTGAAAATATGAGCGAGAGGAGCAGCAAGCTATGAAGCACATTTGAGATAGATGATCTGAGGTATACCATCAAATGTTTCAGTGACAGAGGGCTTGAGTTTTTTTAGATAACGATATAACAGACAACAGACGGATCAAAGTAGACATCATCACAGCGGTGGCGAAGCGGAACAGTACCAACATCATTAAAAGCATTAGAGTGTACATTTTCATCTTTATCAGAGAACACACTAGCGTATTCTCCAAGAACATGAGCTTTATCACTATCGCCAACGTAAGACTTGCCGAAAGAATCTCTGAGAGTTGGAAGATGTGGATTTGATTTCATT